AACAAATATATCTTCATCTGCAAATAAACATTTTATAAAGAAAATCCTCAAAATTAGTTCCTACATTTCCAGGTAACCGAAATGGGAAAAAAATCATTTGTCTCCATAGAGCTAATTTATTTATTTATTTATTTTATTTAAATTTTTATTGGAGTCCATAGAGCTAATTTAAAATTAGTAGTACAAACTGCAAAAACACGTGAGCACTACTTTAAACAGTGATGTGAATGGAACAAACAAATGGAGACCAATTATAACATAATTTCAAATTTTAAAATGTTGACTTTCTTTTCAAGTTCATTTATGCCTTAACAGTGGACTGAGTGCCAGCCAGTTAATTGTCCTTCTAAGTCCAGCCCAGTTAATTAATTATTCTTCAGTTTAAAATCACAGAAACTATAAACCAAAAAGACCAGTACATTTTTGCAAAACAAATAAATTAAAAGGGGGAAATATTTTCCTAAGCATAATTTATCATGCATCTCTCTTTATAAACACTATAGGTATAAAACATTGAGCTCCACAGCCTGAAAGTGCTAGAGAATAAACTAGTCATTGCCCAAAAGACGCTAAAGGAAAGAGTTAAACCGCATGCTACAACTGGGCCACAAGGCTCCAGCATTCTGTGCATTCACTTTCAAGAATCTATTAAAACTTTTTGGTGAATTTTTGAAAAATATACTCAATATGCATGGTACATTTTAAACAACTTGATAAGTCTCGTATTTCAGATATTTAGAAACTATTTTAATAAGGAAAATGACATCAGCTGGGAACTCTGTTATTAAGAATTGATTTACATTTGGTTAAGCCTTTTTCCATTTATTTGCATGTAGGAAACAACTTGAGAATGAGGCTCAAAATGAATGAGAATTAAAGGTAGAGGGAGGAGTGAAGAGTTTGGGTACAGCCTACACAGTAGCATATGGAGCCCCATAAAGCAGGGAGTAAGGTAGGGGGCAGCAGCAAACAGTTAACTAGAGAATGTTAGGAAGAAGAGAGAAGATTATTGGGGAAAGGTAATAAAAACTTTAAGAAAAAGAAAAAACAGTGACGCCACCCGCTGCCCTCCGTACCCCCCACCCCAATCCAAATTCTAACTTCCTTTTGAATCAAAAGAGCTACCTGGTGCCTAGCCACCCTGCCTAGTGACTGACAAATAGTAGGTGCTCAGTAAATACATATTGGATGAATAAATAAAATCTCAGAAGACAAGCAAGCATAGCTGGAAATAGAATTATGGTAATGAACAGAGACCCTGAAGAGAGTTTAAAGTGTATCCCCTTTGGCCTATAGTGATCATGAGATAAAAATGTATACACAAAATTATAATACATTGTGGCTCCCCTACAAGGCTATGAATGGTTTGAGAGCAGGGGTTATATTGTTTTACCTTTGTACACCCAGTGCTAAGTGGAGTAAGGCATGCTGCAGGTGTTCCTTTAATGTTTGTGGGGCTAAGCTGAACAAGAGTAGAAACTACAATAGTAATTCCTTTCATTGCTAAAGTTCCAGCATTGAATGATATTTGCAACAGAATCAAAAAATTAAATAGGAGTCCAGCCTCAGTGGCTGTTCCTAAAATAACTCTTATTTAATGCAAAGTGTGGTATGAAGTTGCTACATGTGTTCAAGCAAAGTTGTAAAGAAAATCAAGATTATTATAGTTAGGTAAGGTATTAAACTAACATAACATGTCTTCCAATGATAAGATAGTCAAGTCAGGCAAAAACAAGCCAACAACACTGCTGGTAAAGTGTACAATAGTGCAACCACTTTGAAAACAGTCTGGTAGTTCCTTAAATAATTAAATGTGAGCTACCATATGACCCAGCAATTCAAATCATATCCTATAGAAATTAAAACATATCCACACAAAAACTTATGCATGAATATTCATAGCAGCATTATATATAAAACCCAAAAAGTATAAACCACCCAAATGTCCATCAACTCATAAATAGATAAAACGTGATCTATCCATACAATGGAATAATATTTGGCCATACAAAGAAATGAAGTACTAATGTGTGCCACAACATGGATGAGATTTGAAAACATTATATTAAGTAAAAGCATCCAGTTACAAAAACCACAAATTGTATGATTCCATTTATATGAAATATTCAAAATCAGAAAATCTCTATACAGAAAGTAGAGTAGGTGTTTCTTAGGGCTGGGGGAGATGGAGGGATTAGGGGGTGATAGCTAAAGTGTACAGGGTTTCTTTCTGAAGAGATGAAAATGTTTTAAAATTGATTATAGTGATGCCTGCACAACTCTATGAATACACAGGAATGTAAACTGTCGATGCATGAATTGTACGAGGTCTGACAATTAAGTTCACAAACTCATTGCAACGATGTTGCTAATAACCTTTTTTGATATCAGAGGGATTATTCCTTATGAATTTGTACTAATTGAACAAACAGTTAACCAAGTTTACTATTTGGAAGTGCTGAAAAGGCTGCATGAAAAAGTTAGACGACTTGAACTTTTCGCCAACAATTCATGGCTCTTGCATCATGACAATGCATCAGCTCACACGGCACTGTCTGTGAGGGAGATTTTAGCCAATTAATAAATAACTGTATTGGAACACCCTCCCTACTCACCTGATCTGGCCCCCAATGACTTCTTTCTTTGTCCAAAGATAAAGGAAATATTGAAAGGAAGATATTTTGATGACATTCAGGACATTAAGGGTAATCTGATGACAGCTCTGATGGCCATTCCAGAAAAAGAGTTCCAAAATTGATTTTAAGAGTGGACTAGGCACTGGTGTTGGTGCATAGCTTCCCAAGGGGAGTACTTCTAAGGTGACTGTAGTGAGATTCAGCAATGAGGTAAGTAGCACTTTCTTTAGGATGAGATCGCAAACTTAATTACCATACCTTGTATTTGTACGTGAATTATATTTTAATATAGCTATTACCAAAAAGCAAACAAAACAAAAACACCAACAAGCAAAAATCATGGAAATGTGTTTATCTTGCTTATAATTCTGCTTCATAATTCCTGGCCATTTTTAACCATGGTATCCAAACTAAAAACTGCAGTCTGACAACATTTGAAATATACAAGAAAATCTGGGTCCAAACTAGCCAGCAAATATTTATATTTTCAAAGTAATTCAATCTTTCTCATCTGTAGACCAAGACATTTCCTGAAAATACTCTGTAGTATTTCTGGATTTTTTTTGTGCATTCTTCTCCCCAATGATCTTACTCTTTAACCTCTAAAATACATTACCAATTACCCATATTACTTCTTTTTTTAAAGATTTTATTGGGGAATTGGGGGAGGGGAACAGCACTGGGGAATCAGGGAAAGGGAACAGACAAGTTGCTGTCCTTTTGTTCTTCAGTCTAGTTATGGAGGACGTTGCTTCACTGGCCCATGTTGGTATTATTGAGCTCTTCTTGGCTGAGGCAGTCGGTCGCTGGCCATTGGATGGCCACTCACAGCAGCTCACGGTAGCTCATGCTGGCTGCCGGCCACTCACAGCAGCTTACAACAGCGCACTGCAGCCTAACTGCAGCCTACACTGTCGCCGGTGACTCATGGCAGCCCAGCTCCAGGTAGAGCTGTTGTTCACCATCTTAGCTGTAGAGGGTGCAGCGTCACTGGCCCATGTGGAATCCAAACCGGTGGCTCTGCTGCTCAGAGCTCGTGTTCCCAAGCCAGCTCTTAACCAATGAGCCACTCGGCCGGCCCCCCATATCACTTTTTTAAAAGCTACTTGGTTCTCTCTCTACTCATTGTTATTTCCCTCTCCTTCACTCTTCTGGATGCTTCCAGAACACCTGTGTTTTATTGTGTTTCTCAACCATGAAATTCCCACACCAGAATTTTTTTCCATGTCAAAATTCAAAGCTAAATTTGGAATTCCTTTTTTTCATGATATATACTTACTTAGAAGGGGTCAGCTCTCTAAACACGCAAGGTATGAGAGCACTGTGGAATACAGTCCAAATTATTCCTAATAGACTTACAAAGTATGCAAAGATTAAATGTCATTTTCTGCTGTTTTTTTCCTGAAAGCCAGAGCTTTTGCTTGGTGGAGAGATGTCCTTTCAATCATCACTAATCATAATAGCATTTACTGAGCATTTGCTGGGTTCAAGGCCATTGGCCTTGAGGTTTGAAACACAGTGACAAAAACCTCAGTACTATAATCTGAAAGGACACCACCTCTTCATATCTAGTTATACTCGTGTATATGTCAGATGCTTAGTTAAATATCTGCAGATAGATGTCTACTTGTCACATGACCATTTCAGAGCTCTGCTGTTATCCTGAGCTAATGCGTTGATTTCTCTCCTGTTTTAGGATGGGGTGATGACATCACTTGGGTACAGACTTATGAAGAAGGTCTCTTTCATACTCAAAAAAGGTAAAACACTTCTCAGTTAATTTTGACAGGTCATATAGATACCTCCCAAAAAAGAGCCAAAAAATAGCATGTTAGCTTTTGAAAGAATACCACAAGTATTTGCTCTGCTATTGTATGCTTTTAGACTAAGAGTTGCCATTAGAATGTTTTTTTATATAAACAAAAGCTCTAAATACCTTTGTATTAATTTCTCAATTACTCAATCAAGGTTTCAAATATAAGTTGTACAAAAAACATTATCAGTAATTAGGCATTATACAAACTGAAACAGGAAACTGATGTACAACAGCAGTTCTCAAGCTTGTCTGATCATCAGAGAATTTTCATTAAAATCCATATTCAGGTTTAATCGATCAGTCATGTACTTACTGAGTAGCCATGTATGTGTCAGGCACTGTTCTACACTCAGTGACCAGGAGTGACATGATCTTTATCCTTACAGACATACTAAATCTTTGGGGATAGAGATGAGAAACTTGTATTTTTTAAAAGCTCCTGACGAATTTATGAAATATCTGAAGAACATTCAATGACAACACTCTTTAAAGAAGAAACAAAGATTTCAAATGAGGATTGAGTAAAACACTGTCTCAACATTGGACAAATATTACAAAAGAAAGAAGTCTACAGAATAATCATTTCCAAATAAGAATGTAATAAACAAACAACATATTAGCAAAGAGCAGCCAGCAGAACATTTAAAGAATACAGTCTGATTAAGTGAGATTTAGCCTGGAAATGCCAGGAAGATTCAATATTATAAAATTTATGGATTTCAATAACTTAATATTGATAAGGAGACAAATCATACTAGTATCTCCTATCTCCATAAATGCTAAAAGGCATTTAATAGAATGCAAAATCCATGTTTGATTTTTTTTAAAAAACTTTTACTTAACACTATTCATTTATTTTCATTTATCCTAACTAAGAAATACCCATCCAACAAAAGAGCCAACATCATGCTTACTGGAAAAACAAATAGAGGTACTCATTAAAGTCTAGATAAGATGAGGATGTCTACAATCCCTAGTTAGCCCTTAATCAATCTGAAACGTTTGACAAAGCTAAAACAATGTTATTGGTAAATTAATCAAATGAATCAAAGAGAAATAAAATTGGATACTACAGAAATTTTTTTTTTTACACAAGTGACATTTTTAAGTCAGGGGTAAGAGGGACAGAATATGTAAAATAATTAGTGTTCGAGAGAAACTAGTAGCCATCTGGGGAAAACAAATCAATTTGGATCTATGCCTCAGATTGTATCACAATAATCTGATGCTGAAATTAGTTTTCCAAGAGTTCTATCAATGTCTTTCTCTACACATAGCTGTCCTTGTCTCCAGTTGTTGGGGCAGGTGTTCAGGAATCAGAATGACTCATGCCACTAAACTGCTCTGTGCCTCAGGACAACTCTACCTACCTAAGCTCAACCAGAGAAGAGTTATCTAGTAGAAAGACTACCACTTGATGGTAGGAGGTCTGCGTTCTATACTTGCCTCTAAAAAATGATCTTCTTGCCTCCCCCTATTCCTTCTATGAAAAGCATATGTGTGAAAATTATAAATGCACATACTCTTTGACCCAGAAATTTGACTTCTGGAAATTTGTTTAAAAATATACACACCCACATGAAAAATCATATATAAATAACCCTTTTCTTAGGGTTAGTTTGCTAAAAAATTAGGAATGATATTTCACTCATTGGATTTGTTGTCTGCTTTTTCACCAATTTAAAGTTATTGGCAAATGCTAGCTTTATCTCTGTCATAAATCTTAAAAGGTGAATTGTAGGATTTATTCTTACCTAAAATTTACTTATATTTCAAGTTTGAGGATTAAATAAAATTAATAATTTCAAGTCTGTTATTTAATACTTTTGAGACCAAAGTAAAAAAAAAAAGGTTATTCAATAAGTATTTCATATGATTATTTCTGTTGTTTTTAAAAGGTTTATACTTAATATGTATACATTGGAGTCTATCTCTTTTTGTACCGAGCATCTTCTCAAAATTAAACATTTTTAAAAACATCCTGTATACCCAAATCGTAACTCCTTTATCCTTCACTATAGTTAATACTCTAATTTTTCTCTTATTCTAATGACCAAAGAAGTCAATTAGCTACCATAAAAACTTTTTTCAGCGAGTTTAAAAATCAAAGTGAAACTGAAAAATGTACAGAGAAGGAACTCACTGAGATTGTTTGTATGTTGTGAGTTGTTACAAGAATTAAAGGAAGTGAAAATAGTTAAATAGTAAGAGCCTTTTGGTGAAAACTGAAAAAACAAACAAACAAAAATCCTGACATCTTATACCAGATGTTCACTGGAAATTAATGCCTTGTTCATAATATTCTTTCATCTCTGAAGCCAGGATTAGTTTTATTTTTCTAACTGTACTATAGAGTAAATAGGAATGGCCTGGTAGCCTTGTTAAGCTGGATTCCTGGACTCCACCCCCAGAGATCCTGATTGGGTGGGCCAGGGATGGATCTGATTGGGTGGGCCAGGGTTGGATCTGATTGGGTGGGCCAGGGATGGAGTCTGAGAATTCTACTGCTAATGCGCTAGCTGGTGATATTTCAAGTTCTCAGGTCATGTTTTGAGCAACACTACTACAGACTACATTGCTATGATTTGTCAGTCAGATTTGTACTTTAAGTCTTGCTGAAAGTACAAAAAGTTTAAGTCTACTTTCACTGTACATTTTGACTCAGACTTAATCACTTGACTTCATTCCACACTCTTTCCATTTAGCAACAAGCCATTGATGGTTATCCATCACTTGGAGGACTGTCAATACTGCCAAGGTAATTTTAGCTCCTGAGATCTTATTGTATTTCCAGTATGAACTAGAAAAGGTGACCTGGGCCGGCGGAGTGGCGCGTTGGTTAAGAACTGGCTTGGGATGCCAGAGGGCCCTGGTTCGGATCCCACATATGAGGGCCAGTGACACTGCCCTCTACAGCTAAGATGCTGAACAACAGCTCAACCTGGAGCTGGGCTGCCATGAGTCGCTGACGGTGTAGGCTACAGCCCCTGCTGCAGTGGGTTGCCATGGGCTACCGTATGTAGCCAGCAGCCAGCGTGAGCGGCCAGCAGCCACAGTGAGCAGCCATCCAGAAGCCGGGGACTGATCTGCCTCGCCAGGGAAGAGCGCAATGATGGTGCCAATTTGGGCCAGTGAAGCAATGGCCTCCACAACTAGACAAAAGAACAAAAGGACAGCAATGTGTCTGTTCCCCTTACCCCAATTCCCCAATAAAAATCTTTAAAAAAAAAAAAAGAAAAGGTGACCTGGTAAGAATCATTAAGGCAGCGTTCAGAAAATCCCATTTGGGAAAAAAAAAAAAATGACAGCTGCCATATCACCATTTTACTAAGGTGCTTAAAGATTATAACGATTGTTAGCAATCTACTGAAAATATTTATATTACAAGTCCTTTAGAATTTTATTTCCCTCTTCCTCCCACCAAAAAAAAAAAAAAAAGTGGGAAAACTTGCTGAAAGATGTTATATAACCACTGAGTCAATGAGATACATGAAATTATCAAACTGGTGGTCCATTACTGTGATTTTCCCCAGATGTCATCCTGGACAGACTGTCTTTCACTGTTTCCCAATGAGAGACAATGAAGTATTTACATCCAAGTTATAGATGCAAACAAATATTAGCTTTATTTTGCTATGTTCTGTTGAAGGTGTCTTTATCCTCAAAACTGACTGGTGTTCGTTATGTTTTCCCCCCACAGCACTAAAAGAAGTGTTTGCCCAAAATAAAGAAATACAAGAAATGGCTCAGAATAATTTCATCATGCTGAATCTCATGGTACATGACCTACCTCTACAGTGTTTTCTCAATATGGAAAATTTGAATCACTTTTTTGCTTCTATTTTTAAGACAAAAAGAGCTATAAAGTGTTGGTGGATATAGAATGTTATATAAAATGGTAAAAGGCCAAAATATTCAATTTACTGTAAATATCATTCATATAAAATATTTTCAAAATCAACTAAAAGTCAAAAACTATCCAATCCAGTAACATTTAATTTTTTCTTCTGCTAGCATGAGACCACAGATAAAAATTTATCGCCTGATGGACAATATGTGCCCAGAATCATGTTTGTGGGTATGTGTGTTATCTCATTCCATCAGATTTACAAAATCAGTAGTATTCTTGCTTTTTCTTATTTTTAAATGCTAGCTCAAGTACTACTTTTTTTTAAAGGGAAGGCATTACTAACCCAGTCGATAACAGCTCTTGTTAGTTCTATAATCAAAATTCATTATATCTATTATAGGTAAATTTTAAATATTTTTTAAACTAACTGATTCTATTAAATCAACATCTCAACGTAATTTCAGTACAGTTCCCTAAACTGTATTAACAGAGAGCTATGCCACGCTATAATGAGCGTTCAGGTTAACTCATCATGAGCTCACATGGATGAAAACTAATTTTGCTTACAAATTTGCTTAACATTTGTTTTAAAGAGGCAAGAATGATTTTAAGAACATTTTAAGTAATACATTACAGACTTATGTTTTTCTTGGCAGATCCTTCTTTAACAGTCAGAGCTGATATCATTGGAAGATATGCTAATAGATTGTATACATATGAACCTCAGGATTTACCAATATGTAAGTATTCACAAATTACCTTGAACAGTGGGTACTACCTGACATTTGACTGTTAGGGGGGGTTCAGTGATGCCCTACATCAGTCCTTCCCCACCAAAAGTGCTATCTGTAAATCACAATTACTGGGGTTGGTGGTGGTGGTAGTGTTTAAAATGCAAACCCTTAGCTCTCAGCAAAATCAGAATTTCTGGGGCACCAAGGAATCTCTTTTTTTAACAGGGTTGTCCAACAGTTCTTGTATTCTAAATTCGGAGACCATTAAAAAGAACAGAGTATACATCAAAATTAAACAAACCTTAAGAGAGCCAGTCCATTTTAGGGTATAAAGATCACATGTAATTTCCTCAAAGTGATAATAATTAAGTCTTTTTTCTCTTGTTTTAATGTTATAAGCAAGGAGATACAGTCTGACTTGGGGACTTTAATTTTTACAGCATTCACTGTCAACTATATTTAATAAGATAACTATTCATTTCAGATCCAGTAGTACAAATACAAAATGATCAGTTAAAAAAAACAGATCCTCCCTGAAAATCTCTCTGATAAAATTGTTTAGCATAAAGGAAGTTGATTAATCAGTTCTGAATGGTCTAATCCCTACATTTACATGTACACCTTAATGTTGTGATAAATTCCCATGTTTTCATAGCTATTAAGTGGGCCAAATTTAGATTCGAGATTAAAAGGTTATATATTTGATATTTTCATTTACTAACAGAATAATATCTATTTGCTTTTATTTCAGTGATAGAAAATATGAAGAAAGCATTAAATCTTATTCAATCAGAGTTATAAGGAATTATCTCAAAGAGGTCAAATGTCATGAAGATGGACTTCCGGTTAACTGACTAATACTAAATGTGCAAATATATGGATTCTGTAACATTACCATTTAGATGTTTAATGTGTTCGCAATATTCTTATGAAGGTGAAATGATATTTCAATAAATGTCAGAACCTGAGCATGAGTGTAGTAGTTGGATTGCTCCCTGCATCAGTAGCAAAGAAAGCTTGTCATGAGCTCAGTGTTAGGGTGGAGACAGGAGGACCTCAATAAGAGGTGTCTACACTGGTTGCCCCTATCTTCTTACCTTTCATTCACTCCACCAGGTAATCTAATGTTAATTCTGCCCCCTTCACTGTATAGGTAATAAATGATGTGTGTGTTGCCAAAGCAAATGGATGCATCTCTGTTCACCTAACTTCTAGCAGCATACTCATAAGTCGGAGTCCACCATTTGCTTCTTTTCTTGCTTCAAAGACATTTAAAAACTAATTACATTAAATTAAAAGTGTAGATATAAAAAATTTAACTACATATTTTCCTTAATTTAATCATTGGGTGGATATTTAATACTTTTAATAATATTAAGAAAAATGTCAACTGCCTCTGGAAGATTTGAAAATTGTCTCCAATCAACCAGCAGGAGAGGATTACAGCCATTCTGAAATTATCAAACGTCCAACCACCAACTCAATGCTTCACAAGAAGCTTCTGGGGGATCAGTACCATGTCTCCTGTTCCTTTAAATACCACAAAAAGTCCTAACTTTTTAATGAAAAAAAAAATCCCATAGTAGGGAGTAATTCTCAGAAGGGAGAGAATGTTTCAGATGAGCAGAAATTTTCCTAATCCATAGGATTTGATTACATTTAAATATTTTAAATTATTTTAAGATATAAACATACACTTTAATATGAGATAGATATACAATGTCTGTTATAAATATTTGATTAATTCCAGTGTTTCCTGAGTCAGAGAAAGAAAGCTTTTTTCCAGGTTTTATTTGATCACCATTCTGTTCATTTTAAGCAGACTTATTAATTAATCTATTTGGATATAAGTAGATTACATGACCAATAACTAAATATCATTACTAGATATCCATGTATCATATTTTCAAAAGAATATTAAATATACTATATTTAATTTTTAAAATTTTAAATCAAAGTCTGAGAGTTGATGTTTTTAACAAATGCTAAGATGTCAAAGAACACTGACATTCTCTGACTCAATAATTTAAAGTATGAAAACTAAAGTATAAAACATAGCTGATTCCATTGTTGTGTAAGCAGTGAAGAGGCAGAAAATGTCAGTGGTCATTTGCAGTGAACTAAGAAGACATCAGCTGACAATTTGGTTACTGTTTTAAGAACTAACAAGTAAAATAAAATATTCACTATTTTTTTCAATTAGTGTAAAAATGTTAGTAAATGATAATTATTCTGTTATAAAAATATACGTGCCTTTGTATTTCAATATACATATAATTATATTCTATAATTTAATTATGTATATAATTATACTAATATTTAATATACATATATTATACATACAATTATTTGATGATAAGTTATATTGGTCATTGTAGCCTTGGAACCAATTTAGTTTCCCTCTCTATCCTACTTTAACAATTAAACGCTATATCCTAGTTGATTTTCTAATTTCTTCACTTTACAAAATTAGTGGTTTAGACTTGATCACGTCTAAGTTTACCACAGCCTTGAAATGTAAAACTACACTTAAAATACATATATATATATATATATATATATATATATACACACTTTATTTCATTACTTTCAGCCGTGTAGCCTCCAAAATAATTATTTATTCTTTCTCTCACACATCCACCGTTAAGAATTAAATTAGTAACATCAAGTTACCTGAAATAGTATGCACAATTCTATGTGTATAGGGATTTTTATAGAGGAGTGTTCAGAGCTCTCATTTGCATTTTAAAGAAATATAATAGTTTAAAAAGTTACATATTAAAAAAAGAAGAGTCAGTAAGGATATTGATTAAATTTAAAATTTAGAGATAAACATTTTTTGTTTAATATAAGTATGTCCTATAAGTATGCAATATTTGGGGCATACTTATACTAAAAATGTATTCATAGTTTATGTGAAATTCATATTTAACTGGGTGACCTGTACTTTCATTTGCTAACAATAGCACCCTAATTTAGAATTACTGTACTTGGCTGGATTCTTCTCTTTCTCCTCCTCCTCTTTCCCTTCCCCTAATATTTTTGCCTAAAACAGCAACTTTTCATTCATATTTCAAATCAATCTCTCAATTTCTGAGTTAAAAAAAAACACTAAATTAATCTTTCCCAGTTATTCCAACATTTAATTTCTACTCTTTGCCAGACACTGTGTTTAGTATTGTGGACAAGAAGATGAACTAGATTTAAAAAAATAAGGCAATTTTGTTACCCCCCAAAATTCCTAGTCTAGTGGTAAGATCTGTAACTGATGAGAAATAACTCCTTGTTAAATAATGTAATAGGATGATGTGGGAGCAGCCAGCGGAGATCATACAACCATCTAATAGGGCTGTCAGCCTTCAGATGTAGGACCTGTGCCTCTTGACTGATAGAAGAATGCACTCTGCCATGCTGAAACTGAGAATA